GACAAAGAGGATCAAGTGGTGGAAGCTTTATGAACATTGCTAGCAAGCCAGAGAAGCATTTAACGCCGTGGAGTTGTGACTGATGAGAAAGAATCTAGTGAAGAGCAGCGGAATCGAATTACTTCACAACTACGATAGACCGAGGAAATCCTGAGAGCCACCCAACCAGGACGTCGATTTGTCGACGAGCAGATCAATTGAATTATTGTTACGTAGTTTTTTTCTTGATCATCTATAATTAGGTTCTCTGTTTTACATGACATCTCAATATGGAAATGGAATTCGAGCTCATTAGCGGGTACTGTACGCCACTAAGAGGATGAAAGACGATTGTGTCAAACAGATCAATGAGAGCATTTCTGTGAAGTCATTACAATATTTTTATTCTTTGAAAAACAGTGTTCACTATGAGCATGGCTTGTGGATGTGCTAGAAATGAAGTGATCAAAATTGCACTGCCTGAAAGCGCATCAATAACCAATAATACGATTAACGCCAGCAACTTCATTACAAATGCAAGAATTTCTTGCTAGGACGAGCGTTCAAACTAGTCCCACTGAAGCGAATAAAATGATAGCGCAGGCATTCTTTTCATTTAGTATCAATTCATGGAATCTTCCGAAGGTGAGCTTTCGTCTCAAGAACTTTTGAATGTAAACCCTAAAGGAAATAATGTACATTTATGCTACTTCCTATCTTGCTAAGAAAGCTGTTTTGCTAGTATGTTTTGCATGCATATAGAGCCTAAACAAAACCCAACTACTAGCTGTTTGTTCTGTCAATGCTTCGACAACTTTTACAGAAGCCAAATCCATCCTTAAGCCGTTTTTCGACGAGATCTTGAAGAATAGGGAAGAACAGGATTTTGAAAAGGTTAGATTAAGTTACTTAATACCACATCCACCTTCGTTTCTGAGTTTGTGATCGACCCACTCAAGCTTTGGGCTAGTCGTGAACGAGTGAACAGCGTTTCCTTTCCCCACATCCTTATGTCTTTCTAACAGTGCTCTGTACAAGGTCCTCATATTTTCGACTTAAAGCTTGATTTTCGTTATCGCAAGTCCTCACTGTGATCTCGTTCCTTTACCTAATAATTAGCTTGGGACTTTGTCTTTGTTTAGACTTTGTTATGTCATCACTGTCATGAACGATAATAACAATGATAGTAAGTGTATGTCAATGATTACGCATTGACGGCGCTTCGTTCTCATCGCTTCCGTTATTCTAACGCAAACTCCGCCGCACTGATTCAAGAAGCCTTCACATGCTCAGATATAGCTACATGCGTCTTATAAATACAATCGCAAATTCTCATTCATGTTGCATTAGATCTCGAAAAATTCTACTCTAGAAATCTCGAAACTTTCTGATCAACCCCATTCATAGGCCTATTTTAGGCAGCTGCACATTTTGATCCCGACGCCGTCTTTATTGAGAAAGGAAAGAAGGTAATATACGGAAGAGAAGGTGGGTTCCTGACAAGTTGCCGAAGCCAAACTAATTTGCCATCTGAAATCGCCTGATTCAGATCTAAAGAAGGAGCATGAAAGCTTTAAAGAAAAAATTGGTAGAGGAACGGCTAAGGTAACTCCCCAATGAGCATAGGTCAAAAAGCTTGTTACCGTCATTGGATCACGGGAATGTGTGTAGCGTACATGTGCAATTTCTAGATAAGTGACGACCGCTATCTGATGGCTGGCGATTACATCATCGTCAATGCTAACTATGAGATCACTCCGGAGAAAGAAGGGCCAGTGGTGAAAGGAAAATTCACGCAGATTTGGCGTAAGACTGACGACAAATACCTGGTCCTGCACGAGGAGTTTACAGCAGAAGAGGCTTGAATGTAGATCAGAAGTGAAATGAACATCTTTTGTGAACCATGGTTCGATTT